TGAATTTGCAACATGTGAATTCGACTGCAGATTTTGAACTCGTATACTGCTGAAACATTCTCCCTCTTAGGTCTGGGGACTCCCTTTCCCCCTACAACAGCTCCAGCACCTCCCCTCTTCACTCTCGGCTTGGGACTGGAGCTTATCCTACAGGCGGTGTGCTGATCTGCCCTCATGTATCATGAGCTCTTAGAAGCAGTCATCCCCACAGGACCTGACAGGGTGATCGTAGTGGCCAGTCACTGGACACTTGTGGCATCAGCAACTGGAGTTTGTTCTTATCATGTAGCACAGTCTCCACAGGACAATGGCTTTCGTTAGGGAGTTAGGTACTGAGGAGTACCTACGGAAGGTGGCCGGCACCTCTTGACGAACTTGGCCCCCACACTTGGCTTTGCTTTTTCTCCAAGCGCTACTGTGGGTTTAAATTGCTTGTGTTTCTCCCTGGAAGGCATGAAATATTAACCATTAAATTTTCTTCTTTTGTACTTTCCACATTAGCAATGTGAAATAAAGTGATAGGGACCACAGAAAAACAAACCCCAACCAACTCTCCTTTCCTGTGTTCTGCATCTGTCTTATTCGGACTACATCTGCTGCTTTGTATTAAAAGCTATTTGATGGTGAGGTGGATGGTGGATGTGAATCTCTTTTATTAAAATGAAGAGCCTTTGGGCCCGTACTAACATAATTACCATCTCAAAATAAAAATGGGAGACCTCTTTACTGTGTTCCTGTGCATATTTATGCCAAAGGGAGTTCTTTAGCATTTTCCAGTATATTTTATTTGGCCAGAGTAAAAGTAATTGCACTACCCTTGGATAGAACAGCATGATTTGTGGGGGTATAATCTCTGTTTCACAGTGTAAAATGTCATTTGCTTCAGAAATTTTTATGGGGAAACAGTCAAGTACTTGCTATTTCTAATGAATCAGGATTCTAAGATTGGAAAGATACATACAAACATAAAAGTTCTTTCAATAAATATTTTTGTGGTCTCTTAGTTATTTTGGCTTTTTCCATTTTTTTTTAAAGGAGCTCTTTATTCTTAACAGCTTGCCCATCATGACATTCAGTATTTCTCATACTCCATAGAACATCTTATATCTTAATTGCATCAACAAATACTTTCGTAGGATCTCTATTCAGAGGATCTTCCTTAAAACTTGTGTTAAGTCGTGGGGGTACTAAATCAGACACCCTCTAAGTCAACACTCTTTCTTCAGCAACTGACTATAAGCAGTGCAGGCTCTACCTAACGTAGTCCGGTCTTTTTCTCAGCTCAGATTTCTTTCCAAAAGGTCACAGTGATCAACCAGAAACTAATTTTCAGTCCTGGAAAAAAGGACAAAGTATACAAAAGATTGCTGGGCAGAGATCTTCAGCTTGAATGAGGAGGCTGCAAAGACACACGTGGGCTCTGCGGTTCTTTCTGGTTGTACAGGGAGGGTCCTGCTCTATTCGGAAGAATGCGTTTCAGAGGGTAGACGGGTTGCTGGGTTTCCCTGTGGTGTCTGAGCCTTGGCCTGGCCCTAATTGGTCAACACTGAGTGTGCAGACGGCTGTCGAAGGAGAGATTCAACTGCTAGGCACACTGGGAGACTTCCAGGGGGCCAGGACACAGGACTAGGAAAGAGCTCTGTGTAATAAGTGTCCTATATATGAATGTGTTGTAGATCTATTTTTTTTCTCTATAGAAAGTTTAGATGGATTCTGCAGGTGCCAGAGCTGGGGGACATTTGAGTCACTAGGATTTGTTGGTTTGCTATATGCTTTCCAGGGAACTCCTTTTACTCAGCCTGGTAATTGGCCATATTATTTTAGGGCAGTGGGATACTCCCTGCCCGCTTCCTCACCCCCCCCCCCCCCCCCCCCCAGCCCAATAACCAAGAAGGGCAAAAAGCTTTTCCCTTAAATAGTACTCCAATGGCTGGGATTTGAGGCATCCAAATTAATCTTTTTTCCTCTTTCATTTCTTAGACACAGTGCTTCCCCCTATAGCCATCTATAACTTTTAAAATTATATACTGGAAGAGCAAGAAATTTTGCTCTGTTTTTATTTTCTTTCCACATTTCAGTTGCCTAGGCTGTTGGAAAAACTAATTATGTCCTAGCCTTTACTTGCAAGAGAGGATTTGCTGTGTTTTGTTCCGTGAACCAGTGTATCGGGGCACCGAGCAACCTGAGAATTTTCTCTGACTTGACATTATGTTCTGTTGCATGTCAGAGTTTGTATGAGCAAGTGACAGGGGATTCCTTTTTGCTTTTTTAGGGGGGAGAGCTAAAGATCCCATTCTGGTATAAAACAATTGTAATATATCCTCCAATTTGTAGGTAGAAGACTGCTATTTTTCTCTTAAGCAGCAGGGAAAAAGGAAGTAAACATTTTTTTTTCCACTTTTCTGTTTTTGAAACATTCCTAGCTTATTTCTTTTTAAAAAAATTTTTTATTTTAAAATATAAGTTATGGTTTATTAGATGCTAAACCCCTAGCTTATTTCTTTAGATTGCTTTCAGTTACGAAATTCCAGTTCTGGATGGTCTCTTAAGATAATCACTTTCAAACAGGATGTTTCTGCAGTCTATGGAAATTGTCATTCATCACTTACCTACTTCTCTGAGACGAACGTGGACGCCTTTTGTCATCTTCAGATTTAGTTTGTATTTGTTGGTTGCGTATGAGAAGCCAGAACCAAAGAATTTTGGTATCAAAGGACACTTACTTGCCTCATTCTCCTTCGCAATGCAGGAATTTCTCTTACATCACGTTTGGCAAATGTGCATAGCAGGTTCTCCTTGAACATGGCAGGTGGCTGGGCGCGCCGTGCTTCTGGACACGTCACTAGATTTTCGAAATACTGCCATTGCCAGAAAGATCTTTACTGTTGGACACAATCTGCCCCTCTCTAACTTCCATTCAACATTTTTTTTTCTCCTCTAGAGCTACCTAAAATACCTGGTCCTTTTTCTGTAAGGCCGCTGATTAAGTCTGCTGTTTACTTGACATGTACATTTCTGATGGCTTTTTATTTTTTAAAAAAGAAAAATGTGGGGTTGTCTTTCAATTGGAATTTTTTTTTTTTTTAAGAGAAAAAAGGAAGATTGTTTTCAGGAACTGTCCGGTGGCTCTGTTTCTGCTACTTCCTTCCCTCTCTCACTGCTGCTCAAGTCTTTTTCTCTTCAGGGAAACCTTACCAAGATGCTGTTACCCCAAGGAGAAAAGCAGTAAGGCTCCCAAGGCTCAGGGGTTGGTCTCATCAAACACAAACTTTTCTCTTGGATCCAGTTCTCTATTTATCCATCTATCTTTTGAAACTTGAGAGCTTCAATTTATTTGCTTAGTTATTTGATATGTAAAAATAACCCCAAACGTTTAAACAACTCATGTTATTAAATTTCATTCACTTATTTAATAGCAACTCAATTATTCAAGCACTTAGAATCATGTCGCTATTTACTTTGCCAAACTTCTGTGTTAGAATTCATTAAAGCCTGTGGTCGGTAGCTTTGCTTTATTTAGACTGTTAACCTCTCCCTGTATTTTAGGCCCCATATCTCACTCCTTCTCCCCCGGGGTTGAGGTCTCTGGTGTATTTAAGCTCTGATTCTCTGTAGGATTCTCTTCTTACCCTTTCAGTATCACCGGCCATGTGTACTTTCTGGTGTGTTTCCTTAGTCAGTTTGCATCACTCCATCTTCTTTTTGTCTCTTGAAAATGTATTGAAGTATCTCCAAAGTGGGTATAATAAGACTGCTGACTTATAGGACTGTCTGAAGTTAACAGTTGGTCAACGGATGTAAAGAACTTTGAACAGTACCCGGAACACGAGAAGTGCTTAGAAAGATTTGTTCTCGTTTTGTCATTGATGTTGATGTTATAGTTGGACTTTTAATGCTCTTCGCCACCCTAAAAGTATCCACAGTCCTGTTTATTGTCACTATTAATTTTGTCATCAGATTTATTTTATAAGTCAAGTTTTTCTTCATTTCTGCATTTTTCTTACTCGGGTGATTTGGGGAGAAATAACTATGCAGCATCTCAATTCAGCATGTCTGCAGTAGTATTTGAATTTAATGGAATTTAAAAATCATTGCCCAGAAGTATATTCATAATTAAATTATATGATAAGTTGAGACATTACATTTTTTATATTTGAAGGCTATAAGGATACTTTCAATTAGTTGATGGACTGGATTCTGAATTTCATGTGGAGAGGTTTAAATCCCAATGAAGTGAAAGTTTTTGTCTAAATGGGAATTTCTGTATTTTAATTAAATTTACGTGAAAAAGAACATTAGTGGTGGTAATGGTTGCACAGTAATCTGACTGTTACTTAATGCACTTGTTAAAAAGCAAAATTCAACTGGGTAAAATTTAAAGACCGTCTTGGCTTTAGTTGGCAATTCATGAACTGGGCAGCATCCAATCTAGTAGATAGAAAGGCGCTCCAAAGAGCGTAAAAAACCCAAGACTTTTATAGGGAGCAGGAACAGGAAGGTATCCTAGGTGGCAAAGTGGGCTGGTTATCTCAGGGTCACTTTCCTTTTCGCGATGGCAGGCGTCTGTCAGGCAGATGACCTAACAAGTGCTGATCAGGCAATTCCTGATTGACTGGTTTAAGACTCCATTTCCGGGAGAGCCGCCACTGTAATTAAGTCCTCGTTTGATGGTGTGGGTCTTAGCAGAAATGATTCCACTGTAGCCCTTGAATCGCGTTTTTCACACACTGAACTATATACACTTAAAAATGGTCGCAGTGGTGAATTTTATGTTACGTATACTTTATCACAATTAAGAAAAGAACATTAGCTGTTGTGTACTTGTCTCACATTGACGGCGAAAGATGTTCATGCGTGTGAAAATCTAAATCGCAAGGGACCCTGCAGATAGCGTGGGCCGACCGTGTTGGCGTCGACATGTTGATTTATGTTTTCTTTTCTCAACTACATATGGCTCTCATTTCCTAATGTGAAATTTATTATTATTATTTTTTTAACAGGAAGGAAAAGCTGATGCGATGCTCTCAGTGCCGTGTTGCCAAATACTGTAGTGCTAAGTGTCAGGTAAGAGCGTGCAGCTCTGTGTCAGCGAAACCTTCAAGTCCTCTAACTCTTACGCTTCTCCTCCATTATCCTGTTGGCCTCTGTCTGTCTCTTCGCAATCTTTGATTTATTTTAACTTGTTATTTTTCTCCCGTTTTAAAATAATGTATGTATATGGTAAAATTTATATATAATACATATGTAAAATTACATGTATAATATATACATCACAAAAGACAAGTCAGTGTTTACTCTTCTCCAATTTCTTGTCCTACTGACCTCAATCCTATTTCCCAGAGATAACCACTGTTAAATTTCTTGAGCGTCTTCGCAGCATTTTTAATGTTCTTGTGCAAACATATTCAAATATCTATATTTTTTGCTTGAAAAAAACAAGATAAAAGTTATTCTGGCACAAATTCTTGTATACCTTGATTTTGTTTTTTATTTAATAATCTATTGAGAGGAATTCTTTGTATCACCCCAGTTATTCCATTTTATGACTGCGCCACAAACATGCTTTCCCCATGAATGAATGCTTCGGTATTTCCCCACATTTTGTATTGCCATTAATGCACCAAGCATCCTTTTGTGCATGGTTTTGCATACTTTTGCAAATTAATTATAGGATAATTTCTTCCCAGTTGTATCAATTACTACAAGGATATACACATTTAAAATTTTTAAAGATAGTGCCAAGTTGCCTTCTAGAGTTTTAATTTACGACTGATAGTCTATGAGAGAACTGCTATTAACATGCTTGCAATTCTTTAAGGGATGTATAATTAACATTCAACATGACCTTTTCTTCTAACCTTCTGATTAATCAGCTAATAAATGTAATTATGCTCTAATGAATTGTGTCATAATAAAAAGTCTAATTGGAGGTTTTCTGTCTTTGTCACTTGCCCCCCACCCTCCTTCCTTCCTTCCTGTTTCTTATGCTGGTGTGTGTGTGTGTGTGTGTGTGTGTGTGTGTG